AACCTTTCTACAAGTATTGGGTGTACATGATATCTTCGGCGCCTTCTATTCCGTCGTTTGCGCAAAAAATAGCGTGCACAATTGCACATATTAGAGCATTTACACTAAAAGGGTTAATTTTTCTCGTGAACTGTACACACGTGGCGCTGTTCGCCGTCAGCTGAAATTCACTGAATGCATTTTCGCAACCGACGCGACGGTCAGCGGTCAGCGCTGCTAGTCAGGCTCAGGACGTACGTTTTAGGAAAACCGGTTTTTTTAAGATTAAGGTAGAGCCAAACTTAAATAAAACGCTCCTAATGTACTTGACACTGATTTAGGTTTGAAAATTAACCGGTAAGCAAGCCCTGCGGTCAGGACGTACCGTCGGTCGAGCTCTGTTTCCAGCCTTAATGTTTAGTACACTTAATATAAGTAACACTATTTGAATGAAAGGTGACTTCATGAATCATCTCTGTAACCATTTTTCAACTCGACTATTCTGTGAATAATAAAACAGGGAGAAAAAAACAGCCCTTGCTGAGTTTCTTGCCGGTTTTTCTCAGTACAAGGTCTCCCGCCGTAGATTTACGATCCGATGGCGTAGCTTCTAGACATTCATGAGTACTTGTAACAGCCTGAACTGAATAAATGATTATTATGATTATGATTACTAAATATTTCATTTTATCACCTTAAATACATTATTTAAAATATAATTAAGAAGTAATTTTCGAAGGCAGCTATTATTATGTGTAATTGCTAGGTTAAAGTCTTTTGCCTAATTGAACACGTACCATTTCTGCAGTCTGAATAACGTACTAACATACTTATTTAACTTAGAAAATGTTATGTTTTTATTATTTTTTAAGCATTTAACTGCTTGATGTTTAAATCTAAAGCAAAGTTTTTATTAGAAAAAAATCCACGCGGACCAGGCGTTTTTTTTCTATTAAAAACTTCTGTTTAGATTTAAACATCAAGCAGTTAAATGCTTAAAAAATAATAAAAACATAACTATAAATGCTATTTCTTCTTTCAAATGTTTAATACTTGTAAAAGTATTCATTTGACATTGTGGGTTGTATACAATGCGAAGAAATGGCGCTGCCTTGCAGCTTAAGAATGGCTAGAAAAATTTCGACGCGGCCATCAGGGCCGCGGTAGCATAATTGGTCAGTGCATTCGCCAGGATTGCAAAGGGTACCGGTTCGGGTCCCGTCTGCTGCCTGGTCCGCGTGGATTATTTTTCTATTAAAAACTTTTCTATAGAAAATGTTTTTTAGTTCGCTCCAGTAGGCCCCCATTTTCGCTAAAAGTGCGACTCGCCTGTGATACTCCGAGGTTTAGGGCCATGAGGACGTATGCGGGCTCAAAACACGCGGAATTTGAAGGGCTATAAGAAGATGTAAATATTATTTTGGAAAAGTCAAAAACCTTTTTTGGAATTCGGAAAAAAACTACTTTATTTCGTTTTTGTTCATATCCTGGTTTAAATCACTCGGATCATTATATAAGGCATCTAAAGTTTCTTTAATATTCTTATTTGGATTTCTAGTGTGGAGGTAATATGCGCTTACCACACGCACAAACTTCACCACAGTTCGGCCTGCGCAAGCATCTCGCACGAAAAAACTGTACACTTTGTGCGTTACCACACGGCACAGTTATGGGCCTACCACACGCACGAGCTTCACCACAGTTTTGCCTGCGCAGGCCGGTTTGTACACGGAACACGGTGCGTGTAGTTGGTAAAACTGTATCACGCGCCAACCCCACAGCGCGGCCTGCGCAATATTCGACTTGCTTGAAATTTTGCCTGCGCAAGCCCGGCCTGCGCGTACTTGTCTGTGCGTGTGGTTGGGCGTTCAGTGTTCAAGCCACAGTCGAGTGTACTTTGTGTCGAGGCTCGCTCGTCGTTTCATTAGGTCGTTCGTCATCGTCACACAAAAATGGTAGATTTGCGTACGTACAATCGCGAATTCACGTCTGAATTAATTAGTTAATACAAATCTCTGCCTGCACTCTGGAAAATTAAATCTAAAGATTATTCCGACCGAAATAAAAAGAACGACGACTACGAAAGAATGATAAATAAAATGAAAGAGGTAAAAACATATTTTTTGCAACTAAATACCTATGCCTAATACCTACTACCTACCTACTTGCACATATTATGTACATATCCTATCGTTTTTACATGTTTTTTTTAATAGCAAACACTTGAAACATAGTAGCATAAGAAATGTTTCTTCATTAGAAAACATTTTTTCCACGCCAATGATTTCGATAAGAATGAGGCTTGCGCGTACTTAACTGTGCCGTGTGGTAACGCACAAAGTGTACAGTTTTTTCGTGCGAGATGCTTGCGCAGGTCAAACTGTGGTGAAGCTTGTGCGTGTGGTAAGCGCATTATAGCTTATTCAAATACTGTGCCGCAGCGGTGCGCAATGTTGCCAACTCTACGTCTTTTTACGTAGATCTACGTATTTTAGGCCTTTTCTGGAAACCTACTTACCTAACTTCCTACCTAACTTCAGTCCCAGAATCTACGTATTTTCTTATTCTTTTTCAAATTTGTAAAATAACTTAATTCACTAGAATAAAGAAGAATATTTTCCGTTACTTTACTTAAAAACTATACAAATGTTTATTTCTTATAAAGATGTATCTAAACACTCTTGTATCTTGTAGAAAAGGTTCCCGTTATTGGTTTTGTTGACTAAATTAATGCTGGACGCAGGATTTGTGAAAGCAGAAACGACAAAACTCTTTGACTTAGTAGGTACATTCATAACCTTAAAAATTGTATTTTTAAACTTTTACTATTATCAATGAGTACCTACTCACATCGAATTGATCTTTGAAAAAGAAAAGACTTTCAATCGATAAAGTTACAGGATTCAGCAAGTTTTAAGCATATGTTCATGTGTAAGTATGTTTTTTCTCTTGGCAATTTAAACCACAACTTTTCTAGAGTCTTTTACCAAGTGTATCATGATAACTACTATATTTTTCATGTGATCTATTAGAAATCATGGTTTTATAATATTAACTTAGAAAGTTTATTTCCTACGTGCTTGCGAGTGTTTGTTTACAAATGTTTTGACGTCATAGCATAGATAAGTCTATAGACTAAAGAGCGTTTTTGTATGTCTTCTAGTAAAAAAAAAATTTTTTTTCATTCTGATAGAACAATTATTAACAATTTAAAACATAATTCCAAAAAGTGTCAACTAGCCCATTTAACAACAGTTTATCCTTGTCATTCTCTATACAGAATGAAAAGGAGAGACTGATATTAAATTAAGTTTTAAATTTAGAGAACCATCCAGAATCGGCACCTACCAGTGTCTGTGTCTGATGGTAAATGTTTACCACAGCATTGTAAACGCTTCCAATGCAGCGACTTCTCCAAGAACTCTTTGTTCTATAAACAAATTGTATAACAAAATGCTCGTTTTATTCGGTTTCAAATAACTTCTTCATTTCACTCAGAAAAAAGTACGTAGATCTACTTACTTTTCATATGCAAAATTTACCAATTCTACGTAATTTTCTCATCGGGCCTACGCCTTTTTCAAAATCCGAGTTGGCAACACTGGCGATGCGGGCCAATGTGAGGAGTTTTTGGCGGGATTTCATCGAGTGCGGTTGGCGTCTTATTTTAATTATTCTTAAATTCGTTCATAGTGGATATTGTGAAATAAAATTGGTGTGGTTTTGTGTAACAACTGTCTGCGTAACTGAAGAATTAGTGGAATCGTTAAAATATACGCTATTCCGGTCAAGTGGACGTGAGAATTTTATTGTAGTGTTGACTACCTCACAGAAGCTTATCGAAAAAGCCAACTCGATACATTTCGTGCCAAACACTCCAAGAAACATTAGAATGCGTCACACCGACATTCTAATGTAAAAAGTAAAAACAAAAAGAAGATTAATTTAATTAAAGACCAGACTGTATGGGCATTGTTCCCTTTGCCTTTCCTAAAACGGGAGAACTTCAACAAAAAAAAAAAAGGCCAATGTGAGAATCTCCATAAACGAATGCTACAGTGCCATCAACAGATGGCTCTGTAGCATTCTGAATCACGCTATGGTTTCGATTTTAATTTCTTACTAAATATATCATTTCGTTAATTATAATATAGCATTTTTAAAGCCTCGCTACTTAGGCTTTTATTTTTGTAAGTAGTTATTGATTTATTGAATAGCTACTGTACTACGTTCATTTAACATTTAGCATACTTTTGAAATATCAACTTTTCAGCCGTGGTCTGGTCAACCATCTTAAAACGTGTTTCGACTTTCGATATCAATCAATCAATTTCGATATGCTCGACATTAATTTGGATACTGAATGTATTTTCACAAGTAATTATAGTTACTTATTCAGTTGAGTTATTTAATTCAAAATGTTTATGTAAGTGCAAGTTTTCAATCATACTGATTGGAAAAAAATAAACTTCACATTTTATGTAATCGCTTCACAGACCAAAGCGAATTAGCGACAGGAATTCTTAATATTACACGGCCACGTATTGCCCCCTTAACTGATGATTAACATCGAGTACCTACTAAACCATAGACCACATGAATACGCTGTGGTAAGATGGCCGCAAGTTGTACAGAATAGCTTTCGATTTGGATGAGACTAGCTTTCTAGCTAGAAAGAATTCGACACGGCCTGGCACGGCCATCAGGGTTGCGGTAGCATAATAGCACTGCATTTGCCCGGATAGCGAAGGGTGCGGGTTGGAGTCCCGTCTGCTGCCTGGTCCGCGTGGAAATTTTTCTAGTAATATATAATAAATAATTAAGGGCCTCCCAATACAAAAGGCGATATGATATGATAATATTGTTGATAAGGGACCGATTACTAGTAGAGACATCTAGCGTGGAGAAGCCGTACTTCATGTTTGTTTTTATTGCCTCGCCATCTATCGGTGGAAAGCTTTACCAAATACTTGCTGGAATAGAAAGATTTTTATTATTATTGCTTCTTAAAGAAAGAAAAAAGACAATCATTAATTAAACATTAATATTTCAATATTTTAAAACAAATTGATACGAACAGAACAATTGGAATCATTTAAAAAGTAAAGCACAACAGTTCAGCAATTTTGTGTTATGGCAATAATGTTCCTAAAAACGAATCATGGATTTAAGTCCTTCAAGAATTTCAATTATAAACTTTATCTCATGGGGAGAAAGCCTACAGTTTGTGTAAATTTTATGGTAATAAGACATTTTATCGTTTGAGTAGGAAGTGGCATAAAAATAGGATTGCCAACAATCGGAGTGACGTCACGCCATGGAGGGACTTACAGTTCTAAAGTTACATTATAGTTGAAGAAAATAAGATTTTCATCACAAAGCTGCATTTTCTTGTAAGAAGAGTACAAAAATAACAAGATCAGTGTACGACGCGAGTGAAAAACCAAAGAAAATATCGATCGAACCGCGCATTGTGAATAAAATAAATGTGATATTAATTGTTTCGTTGAAGTTACATAGTTACCAGAATTTATTATATTTTGTGAGTATTACCCATCGGTTGTGATGTGCGATCGATTTATTATATTATGCGACATTGCCCACGTGATGCAGAAAAATTAAATTAGTGACTATTCTATCAAGTTGGCTGGATCAGTCGTGTCCTGAAGTCTTGCTAAAAATAAATCCTGAGTCGTATTTTTGGACGTGATATTTCGTGATTTTGCGTGTGCGAGGCCGGGTGAGTGGTGTGAAAGTGACAAATGCCCCTTTTACCATCATCAAAACGCTTAAAAATGTTTTGGCCTTGAGAGATCTCAATCAATTTTTTCAAATAATGGTGTCGAATTTCAAAACTGTACACCATACCAAGCTTACTGCGTTCCTTTTCACGTTTTATGCACTTTGGCATCGTATATCATGGACAGTGACAATGCAATTGTATAATTTAATACTGCATTGTATGTAAGCCTCACGACCTTGACTTCTAAACCAGAACTCCTACACCTACTATATTTATGAAGGAAATAGTCGTTTGTTGCATTCTCTTATGGACTTCTGTGATATTACATGTCTGAAGAACAGTATTAATATTTCTATTTATATACATTGAACGGAACCTGATAAGACCAAATTTAACAACAGATTGTTATCAGTACCATTATAAATTCCAACCAAAACATAACCTAAATATAAATAACTGCAAGGATTGTTAAAGTTAGTTAGTCATCAGAGGAATGTAGAAACGATACTCGCAGATATCAATACCAAAATTATAAACATGGAAGTTATCTGTCTGTCTATATGTGTATAGTATTGCCCGAATTTTGTGTCTTCTTCTTGTGTACAGCTGCTTTTTGTCGCAATCTCCATGCACCCGATCATAATTTTCCATTCATTAATTATTCTCATAGTAAGTGTCAGAGAGTACAATACTTTTTAGTATGAAAGCCATTTCCACATGACAGACGCCATAATTCCATGTACTTATATCAATGTTTGTAAATGCTTTCAAACCGCACCAGGGGGCCAATCGCCTAACGGAAATGCTTTGGGAAACGCTAACGCTTACGATTTTATATTGTTATTTCTAGCCGCCTGAGGTTTTCGAATACCTCACGCTCATTTTTTTTAATATTGTTATTACCAATGCAAAAGAAAAAGAAAGAGCGCGGGGCATTTGAATACCTCAGGCGGCTAGAAATAACAAAATAAAATCGTAAGCGTTAGCGTTTTCCAAAGCATTTCCGTTAGGCGATTGGCCCCCAGCTATACTGATTTTGATAATGCTCTTCGTATCAAAATCAATATAGCTGGTTCAGTTTGGGCAGGGTTGTATGGAGAAAAGAATGGATCCTTTTTACAAACTTACTTTCCCTGTATTACCATTCATATTTCAATTACTTTGGATAGTTTAATTGCCATACCATTTATTCGACCCACAGATGAAGTCCTGGGAAGCCACTAGCTAACTCATAATATTGTTTTTCAAATTGGGTGCATAGTACAACTCTTTTAAATCTATCAATATTTTTTTTATAACACCCTTTATTGGGGATTTTTTTCTGCAGACAAAACAAGCAATTGACACTCCACAACATTAAAAAGAATAATGTAACAACTGTTAACAAATCATTATGTATGTTATGTTATAAACTTAAATTTCTTATGGAACTATGTATAAATATTACAACAATTATTTTCCCTATCCCTTAATACATACTGATGGCTATGTTATAAAGCTCACCGAATATAATTCAGATCAGAGTCCTAACCACGAAATTTGAGATCCATTTTCATAGGGTCAATAACTTGTGTTTCAAAGAAACTAAAAGCCCTCAAAAATTACAATAATAAACAAAATTTTATCACCACTGAAGACGTCTACTGTGGAGTATATTGAACTTGAAACTCCCAACCGCAGAATAAAATTGACAAGCAGTACAGGATTATCTCAAGCAAATCGGGGGCTATAAAGAATCATTTAAAAAAAAATGAAAATAACATATTAATTAAATTGAACAGGCCGAGGGTATTATTTTAAATAAAATTTCAAACTTGTATTAACTCGAAAGGGCAATAGGGTATTAACTTAACATAATACTGTTTAGAATACTCGCAATCTTATTTTTTGCCTAGAAATTGATGACTGGACCCTAAGACCCTTAACTAACATATTACGACTGTCTTGACTATCTTGAAAATGACATTCATGAACAGTCAAGAAAGACATGTGTTGCTATATCAAAAACTATTTTGAATTGAAATACAATTGTCTTACCAGTTTATAGAGAAAAAAATGTAGTTTTCCAAACGCAAATAAAAAAAATCAAACGAATTTTCCGACTTAGTACACTATTGTTTGTGACGTGCGATGTGTCTTTGTGTGCATTGCTCGAGCGCACATTTTTTTACGTCTGTTAAGCTAGCATGGCAAAGTGAGCAGAATCACTTAAAAATAAGTGCACCAATTAGTGCTAGTTTAGTGCTAATTTTAATTAAGCTAGCAGTGTATTCCCTGAAACGCCTATATTAACGCGGTATAGAACTAAAGCAATGCATAGGGAATTTAGTGCTTAATGAGTGCTGGCAGTATCTGATAAAAAAAATCGAAAAAAAAATATTATTTTTTATGAATCAAAACTGCTAGTTTGACAGTCACGTCTGCTCACCTTGTCATGCTAGCTTAACAGACGTCATTTTTTTAGCTTCTGCACTGTCTATTTTGTGGTAGAGTGTATCAGTTCCATTCCTAAAATTCCCTATTAAGTTTGCTTGTAAAATTACATTGAATTTTATTGTTTCATGAACCTCTTTTTGTATTTGCGTCACTGTTGTAGAATTTGCGTCACAGACGTAGAATCCGTCAGCTAACATTAGCATAAACATTACAATTTATCTTATCTCTTTTTTAAATTGAATTTGGTATTGAATTAAACTGTTTAATTACTGTTATAAATTATAACTTATAATTATAAGAGCCATCATCATCACCAGCCCATTAATGCTGGGGCACAGGGCTTCCCTATGGATGGTATAAGGAAATTGGACCTTGACCCACCATGCGGGCCTAGTGCGGATTGGTGGGTGCCAACGACTACGGATACAGCCGGGACCAATGGCTCAACGTGCCTTCAGGAGCACAAAGGAGCTCGACATAGTAAACTTTAGTACACCCATCCAATGGCCGTCCATTGCGAAAGTTGCTCAACTTCAACGATCGCAACCGAGCGCGCTAACCGCTTGCGCCATTGTGCTCCTAATAGAAGAGTGAAAACGGATAGTTTTTTTTGCTGGATACCGAATACATATCTCTTAAGAGCCCTTTTACAAAATTGCGCCGCTGTCGTACTGATCGGCGCGTGGGTATATTTGCACTAGTATATATTGCATTTTACGGGTGATTTTTGGAGTCTTATAAAATAATTATTAATCAACTAATTATAAAAATATATACATATTTCAGTAGTTCAATGTTGGTAGATTAGTTTTATGAAAGTTTTTGATAGTAATTCTATTTAATTTAATATCAAAATACTATAAAAATAATAATAAACTAGCTGCAGTAGAACGATCAGTACAAAAAAAGAAAAATAGTATTTACAAATATTCTACATGAACTTACAAGAATAAATCTACTGTTTACTTCTATTGGAAATAGTCAAAATCTTTTCTAAAGGGGTAAGCGAATCGATCAAAAATATGTATATATATATAATATATATATACGATTTCTTGCAAAAAAGTAATAATCTCTCTATCCAAGGGGGGCAGGGGAGCACCCGTCCTAGACACAAAATTTTAGCCAAATGTAAAATAACCAAAGTGCTCAATCCTCAAAGTGCAAAATTGACTTGCTTGCCTGATGCATGCGTTATAAAATATGACTCTTAACACTCTCATTTTTCTTCTACTTGATCTTATAGTGTTTTTGATCCTATGTCATAATTATCTGGGAGCCAATCGTCTAACGAAATTACTATAGCTCTCGCTATCGCTAACGCTTTCATGTTGTTATTTCTGACCGTCTAATACCTCACGCTCATTTTCCATAATGTTGTTATTACCAATGCAAAAGAAAAAAAAGAGCGCGAGGCATTTGAAAACCTTCGAGGGTCAGAAACAATGATATTAAATACCCTAGATACACTAACACGAACAAAATCATGCCCGAAACCTGTCCACAAGGTACATTAGACGATTCACTGAGCTCCGTAAGATGATCGCGTAGTCTAAACAATATAAGGCATTATTTAAACATTGAAAATCACCTTTAAAGCGTACTCTATAAGGTCTTCATTAAAACGCATGCGTCAAAGAGTTATGACAGTCTGAAAAGTAGGCGCGTAAAATTTTACGACTTATTGCTATATGCGGCAGAATATAGACCTTATTTCTTTGACTCTACAATATAGTTAGCAATATAGCAGGTACGGACCGCGAGGAAAAGAGACGGCTATATGGCGACGTATAACCGACCATGCATTTGAATATCACAAATATTTTATATTAAATCAGTTTATAGTAAGTATTAGATCAAAATTTACTTCAAATGCGTTAAATTAACATACATTACTTATATACTTGTCGAAAAAACGACACTTTTCGTATTCTAAGTAATTTTTTCGCGGAGCTCTGTGGCACCTTGTCTTTTTAACGGTCCGCACATGACTGTGAACCAAGAAGTGCTTGAGTGGAGTTCAAGCACTTCTTGATTGGGACACATTTTGTGGTGTATTTAATATCGTTGTATAAAACTCTGTAATTATTTTGTGACATAGGTATTTACTATTTATATCTATTTATTCTATTCAGCCCTGAAGAGGAAATAAAACAACCTACACAAGATAAAACCTTTATTACAATCCTTAAAACAATAAACAATTATTAAACGAAAATGGTCTACGCCTTCATGGTTTAACTATACCTATAAGTCTTATTCTTAACTATAGGACAGTTACATATACTTATTCCTATAAATATCTACTACTTATAGAAACGTAAATAATAACATAATTCAAACACTTTATGATTGCTTACAATTTTCTGCTAACCCAAACTATCAACCTACGAATAACGTACGACCTATGATTCGTTGCCATAGCAACTGACTATGCGAGTTTCTAACATTAAAACCTATCTCTTATCTATTAGACAAGTCCGTCTGGCCGTGGTGCTGTTTCAGCGGCCAAACCGTAAGAGATAGATAAAGAGAATATTTAAGTTATAAGTTAAGAATAGTCTGATTAGACTACAAACCGGATTTGAGTAACGTAGCACTTCCGGTTTTCGAGAAATCAGGTTTTGGTGAACATTTGGTTCACTGGTTTGCTAGTATAATATTAAAATAACAAACTAATGCGTGAATCTGTTATCAAAAAACAAATTTCTAACCGAATAACACTAAAAATCACTTGGTAGATTCACATTTCTCAATCGATTATATGAGGAGCTGGATGGCGCAAGTCGTTAGCGCGTTCGACTGCGATCGTTGAAGTTAAGCAACTTTCGCAGTGGTCGGTCATTGGATGGGTGACCAAAAAATTTGCTATCTCGAGCTCGACGATCCCAGCCGAACGCGCTAATCACCCGCGCCGTCGAGTTCCGTTGATATATATCTTTATATATATAATTCTTCTGTGAGTGTGTATGTCACTGAACTTCTCTTAAACGACTGGACCGATTTTGATGAAATTTTTTGTGTGTGTTCAAGGGGATCTGAGAATGTTTAGATTCACAATTTTGCCCGCTGGACAATGTTTTTTTAATTTTTTTTTTTATGGCGGTACGAAGTTCGCTGGGTCAGCTAGTATATATATATATACCAAACTATAGAAAGGAAATTACGTAGTTGGGTAGCGTTCACGTCTTACAGGGCATGTTGCAAGCATCTACTGGCTACTGACCATGTGAAAAAAATTAAACCACCGCCATTTTGTTTCAGATCCAAGTAGAAGAGAAGAATATGCGACCTCCGTCCAGGTTAAAACTTAACTAGATAGATAGTTTAAGGCAATGTCTGTTAGCACCTAAGCTGAAAGCCTGAAAGTCCCGAAGAATAATCAAAAATGCCAGTCGTTTCGCCTTCAAGGTATACCTCCACGTCGTCAAGCCTGACGGGCTCATATCGATCTACCTTAACCTCGTCCTCGAGCTTCGATAAACCGTACTATAGAACCAGCAGTGGGACATACGTGTCCTCCACTCTGCGAAGCACTTGCGGGGACAGAACAACAGAGTACAGGTCCAAGTATTCCGATGTGGACGGCAAGAGGGAGAGGAAGTCATCCCTCGTGGAGTATTCCAGAACATCGCGAGCGCCCAGTATCACGGACTCTGATAGCGGCATATCAACCAGATATCGCTCCGAGAGGAGCAAATCCAGGTCCCGGGATATATCTACGACCAGAAGTGAGAGCAGCAAGACTTCTAGTGACCCGTTGCCGCGAAACAAGAGGAATGTCATCAGCACTGCAGCGCTGACAATGTCTACGGCTGAGCTTTACAACAAGTATTCCCCTGCTAACTACGTGCCGCTCACCCAGAGGATCAAAGAGCAACAACAGAACCAGAATAGTTATGGCGAAATTGCCAGGTCGAAATCTATATCAAACGATATCGGAAGACCGCCAGCTGATCCAGCGAAGAGTATAAGGAGAGCGAGGAATTCTACTGCAGCGACCATAGCTGAGGTGAATATGATCTTTTTCTTATTTCTGGCTTGGGATTGTTAGTTGATGACGGTCAACTTTCAGTTTCACAGTCGTGCAGAGCACTCGGGAGACGTTAATTGTATTCTTGTAGTGTCTCGTTCTTGACAACGAGAGTTAAGTTTGGTTATACTTCGTGAGAAAATGAATCAATTAATGTCTCCGCTCTGTCCGAAATAATTCTTTTATGTTTTGCGTGTCTGCGAAATTCGCATAGGTACTTCTTTTAAAAAAAAATGATAATACATGCATTTCATTTCTTCGTATGTAATTGTGTGCGATTTAAGATCGTCAATGTTGTGTTGTGCTCAAATAATTGTATTTTTAATGGCCGCGTCGAGTTCCTTCCAGTATTTTTTTGGCTGCAAAGCAACGCCATCTCTTCGCATTGTAGGTAAACCACAACTTCAAACGCAATACTTGTACAAGTATTAAACATTTGAAAAAAGAAATAGCAATTGTATTTTATTATACTACAATTACTAAAACAAATTAATGGTATTTATTTTCATGGAAGGATTTAGTTGTCATGTTCGAACCATACCGTATGACGATGAATAAGGATTTTTTTTTCATTACTGATAAAAACAACGACTAGATGTAGGACATTTACTTTGGAATTGACTAAAATCTATCAATCTTGTTTTGTTAAGATACAAATAACATTAAACCTTTTATTGAAGTTATACTTCTTTAGCCGCGTTATGAAAAAATTATGAGAGTGAAATTTTAAGATGCGCGCGCATCACTGTAACACAAAAGTAACATAATGAAGTTAGCCGCGGGCGCGTTATGAAAAAATGATGAGAGTGAAATTTTAAGATGTGCGCGCAACACTGTAACAGAAAAGTAACATGAAGTCGGCCGCTAAACCGCACATTACTCGTAAGTCTCGAAAAAAAGCTTCCAACAAAATAGTAATAGGATCTCTTAGTCGCACATGTTGGGACGCTCGTCGCCTCTGATCACTGTTTTCATATTTATAATATTTATCCACATGTTTATAGTTTCTATATTCTTAACACGTGTTATAATGTTATACAAATGCGAAATTTATATGTGCTAATAAATTTTATTCAGTAGTGATTTAAATTGAATATTTTGATTATTTATTAAATTTTTCAAATCAAAACTGAACTTTATTGACTGCGTTGACTATCCTTTTCCAATCCTTTTATTATCTTATTGTAATTAATTATCTGCATTCAATTAAAAACTATTTTTTAATAATTCCAAAAAGAAGTATAACTTCTCACGCGCGTACTTAAGTACACGCACCCTTTTTTTTTAAGTAGACTTGTGTTTATCCGGACGCAGTTATATCGGACCCAGGATATAATTAGCAATCATTCCATTTAAAATTTCTTAACATATCCAGTATATCCAATCCAATAACATGAATCAACTCGTATATTCATTTTCCCAATCACCAGCTGACTAGCTACAGAACAGACATGATATGAGTATGTGAAGCGTAGAAAGCGGAATTATCACTTGTTAAAAATAAATCTTTCGATTTAATCATAAATAAATGTTAAATGTTTAATTGACGGTTCAAAGGCCTGACAGTCCACCTAGTAAGGAAAATCAAAAGATTTGTGTAAAAGATCCAAGGGCGGATCCAGCTTCGGCGCCAGAGGGGGGGTTATATAGTCGTGGTCAAGTCACAGTGGGTACAGATTGGAAACTACAGATTGTGAAGTGGGAACAGAGGGGTCATCCATAAACTACGTCACACGAATTTCATGATTTTTTGCCCCTCCCCGCGTCCTTGTCACAGCTGGTCACATTTATGAGACTCCCCCCCTCCCTAGTGTGACGTCACATACTTTACAAAATTTAGAAATTATTGAATGTAAACAGCGGATCTGAAATTAGTTTTATTTTCATTCAAATTTGTTTTTTAATAATATTAACATGAAATCCAACAATTTAACAAAACAAACATGAATAGCATTATGATTACATTAAAGATACAAACTTAATAATCTTGAGTCAATAGACATTGAGCCCGCTCCTTTAAATTATTTATAACTGGCATAGCACCACTTTGTTCTCGTTTGGGTTGTTAATGTTTTCGTTAAGTAATAGTTTCAACACTTCGATTATAATAGATTTTGGAATGTGACGTCACGAAATTTAGGACCCCTCCCAGCCCCTTGTCACACGATCTCACACTTCATCGACCCCCTCCCTCCCCCTTAACGTGTGACGTAATTTATGGATGGCCCCAGATGGACCCAGCCCAGGGGGGATCATGACCCCCGTGACCCCCCCCCCCCCTGGATCCGCCGTTGAAAAGATCTGATGTGGATTAAACTAATCTTATTGGTCCGGATTAAATATGGATAAATGTTTAGTAAAATGTTAGCTGGATATAACCTCATGATTTGATTTGATATAGGATATCAAGCATCATTAAATAATGCTCTCTTGATTATTGATGTATATCTTTTTTCGGAAGGATATAGAGAAACTCTATTCCTGTACCCCTAGCACAAACCAGTATCGAATTCGAATTGTTTGCGAGTACGAAATGTAATTGTCAAATTTTGTATAGAAACTTGAACAGCAGCGCCACAACGGACGTAACTAGAACTCAAAAACAGTACCCCTAACACGAACCAATATCGAATTCGTAACGTTTGCGAGTCCGAAATGTCATCGTCAAATTAAATATGTGTACTGATTTTTAGTTCTCGTTACGTACTTTGTGCCGCTGCTGTTCAAGTTTCCATACAAAATTTGACATTGACATTTCGATTTGCAAACTATTCGAATTCGATAATGGTTCGTGCTAAAGGTACTGCTGTTCCGGAGTTACCTTGCGCATGTCTCCTAGGTACAGGACAATTATTTTAGAATAAAGAAAAAGTTATCTATCTTATTTTTTCAATATACAAATTGCATTTAACTTTTCAAATCATTTTAAAGTTACTAAATCTTACCTTCCGGTAATACGTAACTTTCAAAATTTACCTTACAGAAGATAGTAAAAGCCTATCTTTACTAATTCCTCCTTCAGCTACATGTTAAGTATAATCCGACGCAACCTAACCATAGCGCGATGCAGGACGGGTACACTGCCATCTATCCATCCTTGACGGCGTAACTTCAGTTTTGATAATAAACAAGTTTCAACTGCAATAAAGCGACATTGATAACAATAATATTCTCTCAACTTTAGGTACGCGCATTTTACTTATATTTAAAAAAAAGGAAAGATAGGGCATAGCTGTTTTTACGCTCGAATTGGAGCGCCAGCCTGGGGGAGTAACCTCCACCTTCAGCCCCAAATTTGTAAGTACCCCTCAATGGTGTTCCCTTAGTACTATAGCACGGTTCTCTTCAAGATAGATTTAGATAGAGTATACAAGGCGTTCCACGGGTTCGTCACACGGAGGGAAAGTATATTAAATATTGAAGATAAGATATTTTACTGAAAGAAGACATCATTTTATTTTTAATAATAAAGAGTATTGCATTCACTGATCTCTTAAAAATCTCCTGCTACAACTGGGAATCAATCTCGTGAAATTTAAAAATGAACGTGACGTATTTTTGGTAACCATCGAAAGGGTTATTTAGAAGGATTTTTTTTTCCCAAATAACATAGCATTTTAAATGTAAGGAACATCATGAAATTAAAATTTTGATATCATTTCAAAGTCTTTATTATCTAGTACATGCTTGCTTACTTAATAACGCAGGATTACCTTACTACAAGCATGTAAAAAAATAATTAAGCGATACTTATACAAACCTACCACCGTTTCTTTTTTATTGTAATTTGTGTTGAATTAAAAAAAAATGTATTCGAGAAAACTATGTTATTTGAGAAAACATAATCCTCATGGTTTACCCTTTCGACGTTTATTATAAAATACATGTGTTTTTTGTTTTACATTTCACGAGTTTGATTGCCGGCAGGCGATTTTTTAAAAACTGTGAATGCAGTTCTTCTTATTATTAAAAATAAAATGATGTCTTCTTTGGGTATAATTTTCAATGAATCAATCAATCAATTTATTTGTTCAAATAATTACGAGTACATAATTTGGTGTTACATAAATATAATGTCCATTCATATTTTACCCTATATGGGTGTGAAACAAATTAGGTAGGTACTGTAATCTACAAAATCCAAAATTGTCACATATCAGTAATTGTACTTAAAAAAGATTAAAATTGTGATAAAAGCAAAACATTTAGTATGATTTTTCGCGTATTATCCGCGTGGATTTTTTTCTAGTAAACTTTTCTTTAGATTTAAACATCTAGCAGTTAAATGCTTAAAAAATAAATAAAATCATTTAGTAAATTGTCAAATTAAATAGCATTTTTTTATGACACTTAAAAAATAGTAATAATCACATATCAATTGGCAAATTAAATAGAAATTGTTCATAGGTCATTTAATAATAATTGAAATAATAATCTAATATATAAAATTCTCGTGTCGCGGTGTTTGTGGTTAAACTCCTCCGAAACGGCTTGACCGATTCTCATGAAATTTTGTGTGCATATTGGGTAGGTCTGAGAATCGGACAACATCTATTTTTCATCCCCCTAAATGTTCCAGCCCTAAATTTTTTTTTTTTTTCAATTTTAGTTATTTTTTTTTATGATACAGCATTAGTAAATACATATAACCCTGAATTTTCACCCTTCTACCACCTACCCCTATTTTTATGGCGGTACGAAGTTCGCTGGGTCAGCTAGAAATTAAATAAAAAAATAAAAATTTCAATATTTAATACACTTTCGTTAAGTGTGACAAACCCGTGGGACGCCCTGTATAGCTTAAATAAAGTCGCTGATGTCCATTGGCGAAAGCTTATCATCAGGTGGTACGTCAGCTCGTCTTTTTCGAAGGCAATAAAATAAACGGCCAAGTGCGAGTCGGATTCGCCCATGATAGGTTCCGTAGCAGCAAGTAACAAAATATAAAAGTTCTTATAGTTCGTTGTAACTTTGATCGA